GGTTCAGGAGGTCTGGGTGGGGCCTGAGAGTCTGTATTTCTAAGGAGATCCCAGAGGCAGGTCCATGAACCACACTCAGTAGCACTGGTCTAGGTTAGGGGTTCTCAGCTGGGAACGATTTGGCTCCCCCAGGGGACATTTGGAAGGAATCCTGGTGGTGCAGCAGTTAAATGCTCGGCTGGTAATTGAAAGGTTAGTGGTTTGAACCCAGCCAGCGGCTACACAGGAAAAAGATCTGATGATCTACTCCCATAAAAACTACAGCCTAGAAAACTCTTTCAGGCAGTTCCGCTCTGTCACATGGGGTCGCTATGAGTAAAAAATCAACTCAGTGGCCTTAATAACAACAATAGGGGACATTTGGCAATGTCTACTGACATGTTTGGTTGTCACAACTGGGAGGGTCATGTTGCTATTGGCATCTAATGAGTAGAAGCTGGGGATGCTGACTAAACATCCTACAGTGCTCAGGGCAGCCCCTATAATAAAGAATTTTCCAGCCCAGATGTCAAGAGTGCGAAGATTGAAAAACCCTCAAAAGGCAGAAAAATAAGTATCTGTGTGAACAGTATTGTAATACATTGTGATAAGGGCAGTTTAGGATACTACTTAATCTAGGGGCACAGCAGTGAATAAGACAGGCCTTGTTAGGGACTCTGACCTTGGAGCTCTGGTGGTAAAGTGGTTAAAGTGCTCAGCTGCTAACCAAAAGGTCAGCGGTTCAAACCCACCAGCCACTCCATGGGAGAAAGATGTGGCAGTCTGCTTCTGTAAAAGATTCCACCCATTGCCATGGAGCCGATTCCGATTCATAGCGACCCTATAGGGCAGAGTAGAACTGCCCCATAGGGTTTCCAAGGAGCCGTTGGTAGATTTGAATGCTGACCTTTTTTTTTTTTTTCCTTTCGGTTAGCAGCTGAGCTCTTAACCATTGCGCCACCAGGGTGCCGCATAAAGATTACAGCCTTGGAAACCCCCTCTGGGGCCAGAAGTTCTACTCTGTCCTGTAGGGTTGCTATGAGTTGGCATCGACTAGACGGCAGTGGGTTTTTGGGGTTTGTTAAGGGCAGTCATACTTGCAGGGTTTCCAGTAGGACAGCTTGCGGTTCTAACTGTGGAAACAAAGCAGAGAATCAAGAAAGCAGATTCAGCCTGGGAGGTTGTGGGTCGGGTTCCAGAGTGAGTGACATTTGACAGCTTTATAAAAAGGAGAGGATTTTGCCAGGGGCGTTCTAGCCTAAGGGAACGGACTTAAGCAAAGCCAAGCCAAGAGAGAAGATGTCGAGTTGGCCGGTGTCCCTGGAATATAGACGGGGAGAAGAATCAGGAGGCAGGTGCTGCCAGATTGGCAAGGGCATGGAGTGCCATCTCAGAAGGCTAACCTTTATCCTGTAGCAACAAGGATTTATGAGGTAATGGAATCCATGTGAATGAGGCCTTACTGTGAACAGTTGGCCTTGTGAAAAGCTTTAAAGTGCCTCAACTATAATAGCCAAATAAAACTTTTTGTATTATTTCATATACAGAAATTTCCAGGAAAAGCCAAAAAAGTCAGAAAATGTTAGCCTGTACATTGTTTCTGCTTGACTTTGCTACGTGAGCCTATTTGTGAATGAGGCTGTTTTCCCAGCAAGCTGACTGGAGGGCCCAGTCGTGAAACTTGGAAGGCAAGCCCAGGCAGGTGTGGTGGGTAGTATCAGGAGTTAATCCTGGTCACAGTTTGTTAAGACTCCAGGGGATTCAGCTGGTTGCAGGCCCTGGTCAGCTTGAGAGGAATCTCGACCTAAGCTTAGAACGGTGCAGACGTTAAGTGTCTTCCACCTCATGGATCCCACAGGCTGTCTTTTAGGGTTTCCATCCTTGGAACTTGCTGAGTTGTTCTCATGTACTCACAAAGCTTTTTATATCTCTGCATTCAGGGTCC